AGTAGTCCCGCAATTGTGCCATAAGCACGTTGCAATGCGGTTTCGGCAATCGTCCGGTCGAGGGAACAGGCATCCACTGGAAGTCCGTGAACGTCAATGGGTCGAGCTCTTCAAGTCTTGACCATGACGTCCCCGACGATAGGTTGCGGCGAAGCTGCCGAATCGGTTGCCGATGGTGGTGAAACCGTGCATGCGGTGGACTGTTGCGCGTGGAGCGGTTGGTCCAGCGGTGGAACCAAGTGAACAGCATAATCCTCGTAAGTATACCGAGGACTTGCGACATTCGCCTCCTCCCCAGATGTGCAGGAGGCCGCTAGCAAGGCGGCCGAATCTGGCGGAGTAGAAGGTGGAGTCGCCTCACCTTCCGCGGAGCTCAGATTCCCGAGCTGAGGCGGGGTCGCACATCCTCCTTGCTCTAATCCTGGCACAGGGAGATCTTGTGCTTGGTGCTGTTGCACCAATAGCAGCTACCGTAGCGGCCGCGGATCTTGTACTCCGCCTCGATCAAGCCAAACTTGACCCATGGAAACTGTCTTGGATGTCCATTTCCGGCCTGCGATGCGGGTTTCGCCTTCCCATTGTTACGAGACTTGTTGGTGTTTCGCGGCTGGACAGCGGCCACCTGATCTCCGTCACTTGATAGTGGAGTGGCTGCTGGGTTATTTCCACTGTCCTGCTGGACTGCAGCGAAGTGCTGCTGTCGCTGACCAGTTCGTACCTTCTCCACATAGGTCGGCTGCCATGATGTTGATTTCTCGTGTGCAGCTGACCTGTTGGTCTTGATGATCTCCCTCGCTTTGTCAATGATCTCCGCGAAGGTTGAGTACTGCTCGCGATCACCAAGAGCCTGGTTCAATGCCGCACAGGACCTGTTGTAGAACTCACGGTGTAGATGCTCGAATGGTAGGTTCAGATTGGGCACAGCCGCAATCTTCTGCCACTCCGTTAGCCAGTCCCGTGTTGCTGTGTTGCCCTGTGACATGGTGAACAAACGGTTGATGGCGAGTGTCGGCGCGTCGTCGACGATGAACCGCTTCTTCCACAGCCGTGTYAGTTCCTCCCATGTGATTACGTCCTTCAAGTCYGGTACGTCGACGCCGTGGGAGGTTGCCAGGTGGCTCAACCAGGTCTGGCATCCGCCCTTTGAGTTCATGAGCAGGGCGCCGATGTACGCATGCTTGGCTACTGGCAGAATCCTGAGTTGCGTTGTGAATGCTTCCCACCAGAGAACGGGATCCTGCTGCGTGTAGTCGTCGAACCTCTCCAGGTTGAAACTTGGCATCTTGTACATCTTCGGATTGTCGTCCGCGTTCGTCGACTGCAGCTTCTGGACCTCGGTCTTCAATGTATGCAGCTGACTGCTGATGGTGGTGGTCAGCGCAGCGAAGGTGCTGATGTCGCCGAGCATTGCCACTACGTGGTCAACGCGGTCCTCCAGTTGGCRGCTTGAGGGTGCACTGCTGRAAGCTCCAGCAGCTGGTCCTGGTACAGCCTGTTCYWGGTCCAACAATCGGGCATTGAGTGCCCGAGTTGCATCCTCGTGGCTCTGCACTGTGCGGCGGAGCGTCGCCAATTCCTGATGTTGTTGCGTCAGGTCCCGGTGCTGTCTCTCCAATCTGACCTTTGGTAGTTGCAAGCATACAACAACCGCGTCACGAGTTTGGAGAGGAACTCCTTGTGCTTTTCTTCCGATGTTACGTCGTCGCCGTTCGGTTGAAAATACCAGTACTTGAGTCTATCGATGCTGTTGGCTTCATCCCGCTGCAGCAGATCCTGGGCTTCCTTTCGGCGAGCCTGGGCATCTACTTCTGCATCAGTCTGTAGCCGCAGTTTCTCTGCTGCTGCTGCCTCTTCAGCTTGTATGCGGGCAGCCTCGACTGCCAGCAGGCATTGTTCCTCGGCCTCTATCTGAGCCAGGCAACGCTGCTTGTAGGCGGCAATGGTCTCATTGGCCAGTTGGCCTGGCAGGCCCGTCATGTTGCTGACGTGGCAATGCTGCTTACGTGGCACTGCTGATGTGGCACTGCGTCTGACATGGTACTACTGATGTGGCACTGCTGACGTGGCACTGTGTTGAACATCACTGCTGACATGGCACTGTGTCTGACGTGGCACTGCTTACGTGGCACTAGGTCTGACGTGGCAATGTGACCTGGCACTGCGGACGTGGCACTGCTGATCTGGCACTGCGGACGTGGCACTGCTGATCTGGCACTGCGGACGTGGCACTGCTGATCTGGCACTGTGACGTGGCACTGCTGACGTGGTACTGTGAC